GCTAGCTAGCTAATGTTGAGCACTAAGGCTACATCGAATTACAATGTTAAGTATTTATTAACCAAACGGTGACTTCAGTTGACAAGCTACCAGAACAGTAAAATAACCAAGAACACAAACATACTTACCTCCACAGCCACCGTCATAATTTTCCTATTAAAAAAATCCAAAAAGTCGTCTGTATGTCCCTCTCAAACTCAACCGCCATTCAAAAAGTCCTGGTTTGTTTGGCGCGCAAAATGACGTCACCCACCGAGTTTGGAGAGTGTTGCCAGATTTGCTCACATTACCCAAGTAAAGTTTACTTCCTCTCAAGAAGTTAAGGCAGACAATGCATTAGTGTAGTTAATATTACTTGTTATTGTCATACAAACTTAACTTGTATAAACGATTATACAAAATTACATACAAACATCAAGTATCACATTAAATTCGAGGTTAAATTCTGAATTAAATTTACAAACACGAGAATTTCTTGTAAAGTTTAAACATATTATTATAATATATATATAATATATAATATTTACTGGGTCAAAAAATCATTTTTTGCAGTGTTCAGCCCCTTGCATCCAAGTACAACAGGGAGTTGTGTTTTTACCAGACTAAGTGAATGTATCACCACACTTCGTCATACTGGCCTGGTTCTGTTATGTACTTATATTGCAAGACAGCTCTTGCTTCAGTGAGAAATATTATGTTTTTAATATCGCCAGATCTCATCACACCTCTATTACTTAGTAGTTCTCCAGTAAATGGTACATCTACTGTATCCACTGTGTTCAAATTACATAAAAAAGGCCATCAGAGTGAATACTGCATATTACTGTGAATTCTACTGACCACAGATTGTGAATACCAACTGACAGTGGGGACACAGAAATGTCTGCCTCTTCTACAAAACATTTCTTTCTGTCGAATGGTTAGAGGCTCTTGCACTTTGACTTTGAGGTGACACTGAAAGCTGATTCCTTAGATGTTTTAAAAGCTTCTTCAATAAGCCTCATTTATAGCTGTTAGAAATACTGTATCTCTGTAGCACTCAGAGTAAAATATAGGAAAGGCTCTCTACAACAACAACAAAATATATCCATAAAATGTAACACCTGTGGTTAATTCATGTCAGTTGTCTAGCAGTACTGCCAGACAAGGATATCAATATTACATTGGACATTTTGGACAAGGGTTGTAGTTTGGGTTATTTCATCCAACACCCCAACCTCCACAATCTTACTTTCCTTGCCATACCACACAAAGGGCACAAAGCTGAGGCTCTATACCTGTGCACTGAACATAAATCCTGAGATACAACAATGATTTAATTCTGAGGGAGACTGGGCTTGAACTTTCACACTATTTGCATTGCAGCACCACAGGTTGTAAAAAAATTAAGTGCAAAATTTTCACACCCAGTCATGTTAGCTTTATGGTTAAGAAGTTCAACAGTACTGGAGTTTGAACTTAAGATTCTCAAGAACACAGAAAGATGACAAAAAGGTGGCTTTGTATACTGTTTGCTTGGGCATGTGATAAAGCAGATGACTGATAACAACAGTGCCCCCTGATGCGAAGTACTGTGTGGTCCCTTCACCTTGCACTCTACTTCACCTTTGATGCAACAAATTTCAGCAACCCATGAGTCATTTTGGACATAAATAACTTGCAGTGCAGAGAAAACTATTTCATCTATTTGCCTCAGAAGCCATGTATCATACAGGTCATTGAGATCTTGATTTCAATGGGACATCCCGGTAAAATAAAGGTTAAATAATAAAAAAATAATAATGCAACATGGTTTCAGAATGTCTTGATTTGATAAGCAGTAAAAATGTTTCTGTCTTCAGGAAACCACATAAAAAACAAATAGTCCAGAAACACTTGCAGTGTTTTGAGCAACCTTAATGAGAAGCCAACGCGTTTCAGCATGAAGCCTTCGTCAGGGTCTGTTAGAGGCACACACCAGAGTCCTATAAATAACACTTTTTTTTTTAAGTTAAAAACAACCAATCTCATATAAGCTCACATATAAAACCACATCTAAGAAGATATTATAATCACTTTACATAATGGTATGAAGGGAATCTAGAGATAACTCTCTGAGGTCAGCCACATTATAACACTATAACAGTCAGATGCCATGCAAGTAGAGAGTTTATAAAATGTAATTTAAATAGTGAGAAGTGAGGGCAGGCAGGTGATTCAAAGAGAGAGAAATGTTATATTTAGCCAGGATGTGCAGCCTGCAGTCATTTCCTGTATATCCTTGCTTCTGTCTCTCACCTGACAGATACCTTTACTTGTGCTCTACAGTACCTCTGGTTGGTTGTACCTCCATAACATAAGTGCAGAGTCATACACATGCCCCAGGCTAAAATGGAGAACGAGTAAGACAGATAAAATAAAATACTGCAGAATTTCACGCTTCACAATGGAAGACATTTAGTTTGTGAGGCTGAAAAAGATCCACTTTTATTTTTGGTAATGGAGCGTTTTACAGCTACCATCCACACATATGTGCTCAGTCAATTTTTTCTAGAAGATAAAATTTTAAGATCTGCTAACTAGTGAACTCTTTCAACAAACTGAAAGCATGAATAGAGCTGCAGGAAGCAAGAGGTGGTGAAGATGGCAGGATTAAATAGGGAGGAATGAGAAAACTTGTAGAGAGAAAGTAGAGACCTTAAAGGAACAAGGCATGAAAGTATTACAAAAGAACAATAGGAGATGACAATAAAGAAGGAGAGATGAGTCTAGGAATACATACAAGTTCCCAAAAGCAGCTCTTTCTTTATTTTTCTCACCCCCACCCAGATATACTCCTCTATGGTCTACGAGTACAGATCACCACTATCTCCTCCCAAGTTGCACCTCCATTTTATGCTCCAGCGGATGACAATAATTTAAGCCTCCCGTTATGCAAATGTACTTAATTGGACTGTCACAAGTTCCCAGGCATCGTCAACTTTACAAAATGACTGAGGCTGGGAGCAGATTGGATTTTGGTGGCCAATCTTGTACACTTAATTTTCAG